CTCGACTAATTATATGGCCGACATCTCACGAAAGCCGACTTGAAAGGTGACACCTCTCGATACACCTTCATATGAGACAAAAGGCGAACTTGAAAGCACGTAAACATCATATTAAATGTGTGATAGATGCCATCATTCCTCGATCCTCAATACTATTTATGGCACATCGGACCATGTCGGCTTCGTACGCTGCCTATCACATCTCATTAATTGCCGAAGTGGCCACGCCCATCCGCGGCCGATACCTGTAAATTCGTAGCTGACTCAACCGTCAGCCCTGACTCGGACGAAGAGACTAAAATGCCCTTCCTTCATTGCAATAAAAGGGGAAACTATTCTCAACATAAATGTAAGCAATTTTCTTAGAATTTTTCCCTATTCCACTTTCCCACTCAGTTAACTAGCTAACTTGATCGTCAGAGGAGCAACGGGGAAGCCAGACACCGCTCTCTTACAAGTTGTGGAACGTGCAGGGAAGATCATCTATACCCAAAATCAGATATTCGGAGAAGTTAGCAGCCCCTGATCAACCTTATTCTGACTAACTTATCTGTGTGGTTATCTAACATCAACAGTTTGACGCTCACCATGGAGTCTTTTATTTTTTTCGAGCATGAATGTCTGGTTCTAAGCGAAGGGCTGATCCATCCACCACTGGAGGACCGCATTAGGGCTATGTCACCCAAGCCCAACTCGAGGAGACTGCTCATAAGATCTCTCATTCCCTCAAACAGCAGCTCACAACCTTAACTAGCGAGCTTCTCAGTCGGTTCCCACCACCACAACAAGCTAACTCCTCTACTCCTCCCCTCTCAGGCAACCAGCACTCAACGACTCATCTCCCATTAGAGGCGCAGCAAGTAGTTCACCTCGGATCCTCATGCTGCCGCCAAGCAGCAGAAGGAACACGTGGAGCACGCAACCCTACCAACCCTACCACCGTACCAACCTACCCGCCAAGCGGATCCTCATCGGCGTCTCTCCTACACTCAGAAGCCACCGACGAGAGGCCCAACCCGAGTTGACATAAGGAGAACACCGCGGGGGGGGGGATGATGTCGAAGACTTCCCATTATCATCATGCTATTCTAGTCCCCTCAGCCACCCATGGGGTGTCGGGATATGATAGGGTGTACCCACCTATCGCCGAAGCCATCGGGGGGAACACCCCCCTTACCGATGATATCATGAATGTTTAATGTGAGAAATTCAAGATGCCTCACATGGAGAAGTACAAGGGTGAAGGAGACTCTGCGGAGCATGTCCAGAACTACTATGATATGATGAGCATGCTCCATACACCAGAAGCAATCATTTGTCAGTGCTTCCCCATTACTTTGTCAGGGAGCACCAAACTCTGATGGAATGCTCTTGAGAAGAAATCCATCAGCAACTTTGAACAGATCAGTCGGAAGTTTGTTCACCACTTTCTAGCCGACACCAAGTAGAAGTTGCCTCTGTCACACCCCGCATCCCAAAATACTCAGGAATCGGGATGTGAACAAGTCCGCGACGTATTAGATTGAGAAGAAATATACACTATTATATTTCTTTCTTTTTCTTTTCTTCTCAATCTAATACGCTAAGCGTCAAATACGCAAATCTCAATCATAGGTCCCCGATCACAAGAGCAAGAATATAAAGACAATCCAGAATAAGAAATAAACATATCATCCATAGCAAATCATCCCAGACATAAAAATACGGCTCAAACATGCCCTTATTACAAAACAGGTCCAGACAGAAATAAAATACATAGTCCATAATAAAAGAAAATACTGCCAAAAATACGAAAATCTGACGTTAACTAAAGAATAAAAAGATAACGAGTTCTAATGTTCATCAGCTACTACAGAGGAAAACACGTCTAGGCTTCGGTTTGTTCTTCAACTCCATCGGAAGGATACTCCAGCTCGGCATACACTGGCTCGGCTGCATCATCGAACTGAACCTGTTCGTCTCCTAAGTCTGACGCACACCAGAGAAAACAGGTGTACGTCAGGGTGCATGGCACACGGCAAGATCTCACATGAACAAATAAAGCGGCCGTATGACCCATGCTATAACAGTAATAATACTAATATGGAAGACAATAGTACATGCAACTGGAAATCTAATGATAACATACAACTGTGTGGAAATGGTAACTGGGTCGAATACTAAACATCCCAAGACTCACCGGTCCATCTCTCAAATAGGTCCAAGTTCGCATTACCGGAAGACTGATTGTTCACAATCCCCTATGCGCATCCAATCCCACGAAACAAGCAGCTAGAGGACTACACGCAATCCGATCTCGGCCCGGTCCGGACTCAGGCAAAGCTCAGGTGACGAAACAGGTCACGGATCCAAGTGGCGAAACAGGTCACTTGGTCCATCAAACCAACCCCAGGACGAAACAGGTTTCTGGTGTAGCCTGGAAGTTAGTCAACAATCACATTCGATCATGCGAACTAAGACTTTCCCAACCCAACTCTTTTCGTTTTTCGCAATCGACCATATTCTTCACTGAAACTCGAGTTCACCACCTATCTAAATCAACGCACACACACGTGTTACTAAGTCTGTTCATGACGCGTGAGGCCACTAAGTCATGAACTACTAAGGTTCTTAACACGTTAACAGATCATGAGTATAGAATGGCATGTTAAACATGATTAAGCAGTTTTATGAAGCAGAAAGAGAACTATAATGAACATGAAGTGCATAAACAAAATACAGCATGAATGTAATACATAAGTGGACTTCATTGTTATCTTACCGCTGGGATGTCCGATCATCTCATACAAATTATCCATACTTATGTATTCTCTAATATAGTAATACGGTAAAAAGAAAACTAGAAACCGATGTCGTTTTGCACATGAAATGTCACGCTCTACGATGATCAGTCATACTATCATAAATAATACTCTTTTTCCAAAAAAAATTTATTCTTTTTAAAACTCTTTCTTATTATAACTAATTTAAAATAACAAGGATTATATAATATAATATAATAATTCCTTTCTGCATGAAATGTAATATATTTCTATTTTATAAATTTCATTAAATTAATTTCTTTTCGATAATATTTCATAATTTCTAATTTTAACTCATAACTTGTCATTTCATGTCCGAATTATTAATGTCACGTAAAATCTATTTACAACACATATACTCATCATTTCATGCTCGTTAAATTCTCCGACATAATTACCACAAAATATCTCAATATTACCTCTAAAATATTATCTAATACTATTTATCCACATTCCACGTCAAATATTCACAATATGCACATTACCGACATTATCATATCTAATTAAATTATTTAATCAATAATATTTGTAAAGCGGGAAAATATGAAGATGCGAGATCTTGCCTCGGTGCAGATCGGATCCGACGTGAGAAGCGGGGTTCGGCGGCTCGGACTGACGGCGACGATTTGACGGTGGGGCTGAGGGAAATGAGCGGCTCAACGAGTCGTGCGTCGGCAGCGATGCAGTGCTCTGAGGGAGTTGCGCTGCTGTATCAGAGTTCGGGGCAGAATGAGGATGAGTATACATTTGTCTAGACTAAGAGGCGGAGCCGACAAGGAGGCGAAGGCGGCGGCATAGGTGATGGGGTTGGAGAGAACTCTTGTTGGTCGGAAGATATTATGCTCAGGCTCTTGCGGGGTGAGGCTACAGGCGTCGTGCAAGTCTGCCGAAACAGGGCTGTAGGAGAGCGGGCAGCGGTTACAGAGGTCGGAGTGTCTGTTCTGTGGGTCGTGCAGGTTCAAGCAGGAGGACAGTGGCTGGAGGCGGTTTAGGATGCGGTTGGGCTCGCGACGCGAAGCCACGGTACTGGGCTGACCATGCTTTTAGGTGGCGAGGACGGTGAGGGGAGGCTAACTATGAGTTAGCGGAGGGAGGCTGCGGGAGCGTGTTAACGGCGGGGTGTGCCTCCGGCGTGGGAGGAGGCGGCAGCGGAGGCTGGGTGTGGTCGGACGCATACATCCTAGGGGACGAGCGCGGCGGTGGTCTATGGCAGGCGGAGCGCGCTGGGGTCGACGGAGGTGGCTGGGGTAGGTCAGAAGAGGAGAAACGAACGAGAAAGAGGAGAGAGAGAGAAAGAGGGAGAGAGGAGAGAGAAGAGGGGGAGCTATGACGAGAGCAGAGAGAGCATCGATGAGAGAGCAGAGTTGAGAGAGAGAGGAGAGAGAGAGAGTACGGTGAAGAGGGCAAGGCGGCTGACTTGGTGGTCAAGTAAAAAGAAGAGAAAAAGATATTTATACAGAGAGTGTAGGTTAGGGTTAGGTACATTTAGGGAATCAAAAATGAAGAGGAGGATGTTGAGCTGTCGAATTGTGAGAGGGAGAGAGAAAAAGGAAAGTATGTGTGAGAGAGAGAGAATTACGGGAGTAAATAAGAAATAGTTAAATGGTGATTAGGGAATTGATTGGAAGTGATTATGGCTGATTGGGAAAAAGAATTTGGAAGGAATTCAAATTAGAGGAAATTAAGAGGGAAAAGATTATGGGCATATATTTGCAAGATATTCAGAATAATAATATTAATAAATAATTAACAACTAAATATTCATATTTTTGTATATGTACTAATGTACTAAGCTCAAATTTACATAAAAATTATTAATAGTATCAATAGTTAAAATAATTATTTAAAATATTCATTGTAACTATAAATTAATATTTCACAGAATTAATAATTTTAGGACTATATATTTTATTTATTTATTTATTTTTTAAAAACTCATAACATTCCAAAAATTGAGAAAAAATATTAATAAAATAAAGTTTAATATTTTAAATACTAGTAAAATTTATTTAAATACGTATCAAAAATTTACGGTTGTTACATCCTACCCCCCTTAAAACAAATTCCTTCTTTGGAATTAAAATAACAAGGACGAAATATAAAGATAGATTCACATCAGCTCATAAGGTTCAAAATGTATTGCATGTTCATAAATAAAGGTCATACAAGGCGATTCAAATAAGATACAAGATATGACAGCTAAGATTCAGGAAATAAATGAGGATATCGCTGTCGCATCTCAGACTCAGTTTCCCAAGTCGACTCTCCAGGAGAATCTGGGTGCCACATCACACGAACAAGCGAGACGGTCTTGTTCCGGAGGGTCTTCTCCCTTCGGTCCAAAATCGCCACAGGCTGCTTCTCGTATGTCAAATCATGTCGCACCTTAATCTCTGAGAAATCTACGACATGACTCAGATCTCTGACGTATCTTCGCAACTGAGAAACGTGGAATACGCTATGCACTCCAGCCAGTGCGGGTGGTAGTGCAAGTCGGTACGCCACTTCTCCCACTCTCTCCAATACGTCAAAAGGTCCCACATATCGCGGACTCAACTTCCCACGCCTTCCAAAGTGAATGGTGCCTCGGTTGGGGGAAATCTTCAGGAATACATGATCTCCTGGCTGAAACTCCAAGTGCCGACGTTTCACGTCTGCCCAATGCTTGAATCTGTCCTGAGCTATGCGAAGTCGCTCCCGAATGATCCTGACTACATCCACTAATCTCTCAATCAACTCTGGCCCAAAAATCTCTCGCTCACCAACATCATCCCAACTCAAAGGAGAGCGGCACTTCCTCCCATACAATGCTGCAAAAGGGGCCATCCCAATGCTTGCCTGGAAGCTGTTGTTGTATGCAAACTCCACCAAATGTAGATGATCCTCCTATGATCCTTGAAAGTCAAGCATACAAGCTCTAAGCATATCCTCCAAAATCTGAATGGTCCTCTCTGACTGCCCATCGGTCTGGGGATGATAAGCTGTGCTAAAACTGAGACTGGTCCCCAGACTCGCCTGCAGACTCTTTCAGAACTCCGAAGTAAATCGGGTATCGCGATCCAAAACGATGCACACTGGAACTCCATGCAATCGCACGATCCCCTACAATATGATAGATTTACTAACACTCTTGGGAAAGGAACTCATTGAAATATATAGAGATAATTGCTTTTACCTCCATGTATCTCTGAGCAAGATGCTCCATCGACTGTCCCACTCTGAAGGGAATGAAATGAACCGATTTGGTTAATCGGTCTACGATCACCCAAACAGCGTCATTTTGTCTAGTGCTCCGAGGTAAGCCAGTGACGAAGTCTATGGTGACATGCTGCCACTCCCATTCCGGAATAGGCAACAGCTGCAAAAGACCTACAATGCGCCGATGCTCTGCCTTCACCTGCTGACATATAAGGCACTTAGCCACACTACGAGCCACATCTCTCTTCATACCACGCCACCAAAAATTCAGCTTTAGATCCTTATACATCTTCGTACCTCCAGGGTGAATAGAATATGGTGAACTATGAGCTTCCCGTAATATCTCCTCTCGAATATCTCCTCCTGGTACGCAGATACGACTCCCAAATCGTAAGGATCCGTTCTCATGAACAACAAATTCCGGTCGAAGACCAGCCACTGCTAACTCTCTGCACTTCCAAATAAATGGGTCACCTGCTTGAGCTGCCTTGATTCGCTCGATCAGAGTCGATTGAATCTGAAGATTCATCAAAGAAGCGGTGACTCCTGGAAGAAGAACCTCTATACTCATATCCCTCACTTCCTGCTAAAGTCTCCACTGAGCCGTGAGGGTCATGATCGCCGGCAATCGGCTCAATGCATCTGGTACCACATTGACCTTGCCAGGGTGATACTGAAGATCAATGTCGTAATCCGCCATCAGTTCTAACCATCGACGTTGCCTCATGTTGAGCTCCTTCTGAGTAAATATGTACTTCAAGCTCTTGTGGTCAGTGAACACCTTCACTTGCTCTCCCAACAGATAATGCCTCCAAAGCTTAAGGGCAAAAATCACAGCTGCCAACTCCAAGTCGTGGGTAGGATAATTCTGCTCATGCTTCTTCAACTGACGAGAAGCATACCTGCTGAAGAACGCATCACAATCCTCTACCTGATGCGTCGAGAAAATACTTCAAAGTTCCCACTCTTATCTGGTATCGTCAAGACCGGGGCTGAAATCAGTCGAAACTTTAACTCCTCAAACGCCTGCTCACAAGCGTCGGACCAGACAAACTTAATATCCTTCCTCGTAAGTCATGTCATCGGCTCTGCAATCTTTGAAAAATCTCTGATGAAGTGACGGTAGTAACCAGCTAATCCCAGGAAGCTCTTAATATCAGACACCGACTTAGGGGTAGGCCAATCCTTCACTACAGATACCTTCTCCAGATCTACTGATATGACGTCTCCTGACACCACGTGTCCTAGAAACGCACTACGATCCAGCCAGAACTGACACTTACTATACTTGGCAAATAGCCGATGCTCTCTTAAGATCTTCAACACGTACCGCAAATGCTCTGCATGCTCCACCTCACTCTTAGAGTACACCAAGATATTATCAATAAAAACTTCCACAAACTTGTCCAGCACATCATAGAATACTAGATTCATCAGGTTCATGAATGTCGCCGGTGCATTAGTCACACCAAACGGCATCACTAAGAATTCATAATGTCCATATCTCATCCGGAATGCAGTCTTGGGGACATCAGAATCCTTAACCTTCACCTGGTGATACCCGCTCCGTAAATCCAGCTTAGAAAATACTCTCGATCCACCCAATTGATCGAAGATATCATCAATACGGGGAAGTGGATACTTATTCTTCACTGTCACCGCATTCAATTCTCGGTAGTCAATGCACATCCGCTTGGATCCATCCTTCTTCCCCACAAGTAACACAGGTGCTCCCCAGGCCGATACACTAGGTCGTATCAACCATCTCTGCAAAAGATCATCCAACTGAGTCCGAAGCTCGGCCAACTCTACCGGAGGCATACGATAAGGGGTCTTGGAGATCGGCCCAACTCCAGGCTTCAAATCTATGGAAAAATCAATCGCTCGATCCGGTGGCAATCCGTAAATATCATCGGGAAACACGTCTTCAAATTCCTGAACTATGACTGGCTTCTCAGATTCCACTTGCATTGTACCTAACGTCGCCTTCTTCGGTCTAGCTCTGTACACCACAGGTCCGACCGATGTGCTGCCATTGGTGAACTCAAACCTCGGGTGATCCGGTATCTCGAATACTACGCTCCGACGGCGACAATCGATGGTGGCAAAGAATGACCCCAACCAATCCATCCCAAATACGACATCAAAACTCGGCAAATCAATCACCAAAAAGTCTGCAAAGAGTTCCCTCCCGCAGATAACCACATGGCATGCTTCATAACCACTGGATGCCACTAAGACGCCACTACCAGTGTTGATATTCCAGCCCGTAGTCAGAGAATCTATAGGAAGAGAATGGGCACTCGCAAATCGACGAGACAAGAAATAGTGGGAGGCTCCAGAATCAAAGAGGGATAAAGCAGGAATGGAAGAAACAAGAACCTTGCCTATTTAGGAGGATGTAAATGCAACTAACTTAGTACTCATAAACAATCCTACTATGATATTATCAATTAATGCTAATTAAGAGGTTCATATGCAAATAAAACTTAGAATAAACAATTCTTACCAGTGATAACCTGGTCGTTCGTCTCAGCCTCTACGACTGACATCATAAACATATGCCGCTGTGGTTGCTGTCTCTGTGCTTTCTGATAAGCCTGTTGCTGCGGAGGAAGTGGCCCTGCTCGAGGATAGGATCTGGGCTGAGGCAGTGCTGCTAGGGCTGGTCGAGGTGGTGTTGGGAGGGTTGCCCGAACTGGGGGTGGGGGCAAACAAGCCTGCTGCTGCTGAGGATAGTCCTGACTGATATGACCCGAGAACCCACAAGTATAGCATAAACGGAGACGCTTGCGGCACTCCTGATAGGTATGTCCACTGAAATCACAATAGGAACACTTCACCGAAGGCTGACTCTGAAACTGCACTCCAGGACGCTGATAAGGGTGAGTCGGATGAGATGGCTGACGCTGGAATGCTGTTGTCTCTGCGGAGCCTGCTGCTGCTGTCTCGGAGGGGGACGCTCGACATTCCGGGCCGGATCTGCTGGTGTCCTGCTCCGAATCACGTGAGAGTCTTCAGGTTCCTTATGCACGCCCTCAATCTCACGTGCTGCATCTAGTACCGCATCATGAGTCACCAAAGCTCTACCTGCCAGAGCCATCCTAATGTACTTGTCCAGACCCTTCTGGAACTGATGCCTCCTAATCGTGGGGTCTGTAACCAAGTGGGGAGCATATCGGCTCAAAGAAGAAAACTCGGCCTCGTACTCATCTACTATTCGCTCTCCTTGCTTGAGCTCAACAAATCTTCATAGGAGTTCATCCTGAGCTAACTAAGGAAAGTATTTCCCGTTGAAGCGCTCGGTGAACGTCTCCCACAAGATGGGCCTCTCCAGATGAGTCTTCTCTGCAGTCCACCAAGAAGCGCTCGGTGAACGTCTCCCACAAGATGGGCCTCTCCAGATGAGTCTTCTCTGCAGTCCACCAAATCCGAGCGGTGTCGGTGAGCTGAATATCCTCTTCTCTGCAGTCCACCAAATCCGAGCGGTGTCGGTGAGCTGAATATCCATGAGGTCCACCCATTCAGTATGGGGGATGCGGGTCACCGTGAGAATAGTCTCCGTGACCTTGAGAAACTTCTCTGTTGCTAAAGGTCCCTTGGCACCAGAAAAGGAAGGAGGCCGCATATATCGAAACTCTCTAACTCCGGACTCTGCGTGAGGGGGAGGCTGGTGCTGCGGCTCCCTATGAAGCTGTCCTGCCAAGTGCTGCTGATTGGTAACCAATCCCTGAATCATCGCCAGAAGTTGGTTGGGATCCACTTCGGGCTGTTGGACACTGCTACTAGATGGGTTACTAACACCGTGAGTACCCACCACAATTCTGAAGGAAAACGAGGATCAAGAATTAGGGTTAAAATCAAAGCAATATATTAGAAAATAGGAGTTAAAACATAGTTATTAAGATAATAGTATAAGAACTTAATCATAGTCTTACGGATGAAAGATGATATGTATCTAAATTGTCTACCATATTCTTACTAGTGAGGACTCGGGACCGGGACCTGCATGGGCCACCACTAAAACCTGTCACGCCCCGCTTCCCAAAATACTCAGGAATCGGGATGTGAACAAGTCCGCGACGTATTAGATTGAGAAGAAATATACACTATTATATTTCTTTCTTTTTTTTCTTCTCAATCTAATACGCTAAGCGTCAAATACGCAAACCTCAATCATAGGTCCCCGATCACAATAGCAAGAATATAAAGACAATCCAGAATAAGAAATAAACATATCATCCATAGCAAATCATCCTAGACATAAAAAAACGGGTCAAACATGCCCTTATTACAAAACAGGTCCAGACAAAAATAAAATACATAGTCCATAATAAAAGAAAATACTGCCAAAAATACGAAAATCCGATATTAACTAAAGAATAAAAAGATAACGAGTTCTAATGTTCATCAGCTACTACAGAGGAAAACACGTCTAGGCTTCAGTTTGTTCTTCAACTCCATCGGAAGGATACTCCGGCTCGACATACACTGGCTCGGCTGCATCATCGAACTGAACATGTTCGTCTCCTAAGTCTAACGCACACCAGAGAAAACAGGTGTACGTCAGGGTGCATGGCACACGGCAAGATCTCACATGAACAAATAAAGCGGTCGTATGACCCATGCTATAACAATAATAATACTAATATGGAAGACAATAGTACATGCAACTAGAAATCTAATGATAACATACAGCTGTGTGGAAATGGTAACTGGGTCGAATACTAAACATCCTAAGACTCACCGGTCCATCTCTCAAATAGGTCCAAGTTCGCATTACCGGAAGACTAATTGTTCACCATCCCCTACGCGCATCCAATCCCGCAAAACAGGCAGCTAGAAGACTACACGTAATCCGATCTCGGTCCGGTCCGGACTCAGGCAAAGCTCAGGTGACGAAACAGGTCACGGATCCAAGTGGCGAAACAGGTCACTTGGTCCATCAAACCAACCCTAGGACGAAACATGTCTCTGGTGTGGCCTGGAAGTTAGTCAACAATCACATTCGATCATGCGAACTAAGACTTTCCCAACCCAGCTCTTTTCGTTTTTCACAATCGACCATATTCTTCACTAAAACTCGAGTTCACCACCTATCTAAATCAACGCACACACACGTGTCACTAAGTCTGTTCATGACGCGCGAGGCCACTAAGTCATGAACTACTAAGGTTCTTAACACGTTAACAGATCATGAGTATAGAATGGCATGTTAAACATGATTAAGTAGTTTTATGAAGCAGAAAGAGAACTGTAATGAACATGAAGTGCATAAACAAAATACATCATGAATGTAATACATAAGTGGACTTTATTGTTATCTAACCGTTGGGATGTCCGATCTTCTCATACAAATTATCCATACTTATGTATTCTCTAATATAGTAATACGGTAAAAAGAAAACTAGAAACTGATGTCGTTTTGCACATGAAATGTCGCGCTCTATGATGATCAGTCATACTATCATAAATAATACTCTTTTTCCAAAAAAATTATTCTTTTTAAAACTATTTCTTATTATAACTAATTTAAAATAACAAGGATTATATAATATAATATAATAATTCCTTTCTGCATGAAATGTAATATATTTCTATTTTATAAATTTCCTTTAATTAATTTCTTTTCGATAATATTTCATAATTTCTAATTTTAACTCATAACTTGTCATTTCATGTCTGAAAATATTTATACATAAATATACAAAATTATTAATGTCACGTAAAATCTATTTACAACACATATACTCATCATTTCATGCTCGTTAAATTCTCCGACATAATTACCACAAAATATCTCAATATTACCTCTAAAATATTATCTAATACTATTTATCCACATTCCACGTAAAATATTCACAATATGCACATTACCGACATTATCATATCTAATTAAATTATTTAATCAATAATATTTGTAAAGCAGGAAAATGTGAAGATGCGAGATCTTGCCTCGATGCAGATCGGATCCGACGTGAGAAGCGGGGTTTGTCGGCTCGGACTGACGACGACGAT